TGAAATTTAGGGTTATAATTTTAGGGTAATAGATATATACCTTTGATTTTGGTTCACCTTCAAAAATAATTACCCATTTATGTAAAACTAATACTACCTAATAACTATTTCTAATATCAAACGATTGTCGACTTTTTCCAGCTCTGTGGGGTGATTTCGTCATCGATAACCTTGTTGTATAACTGTAGAAGTATTTGTTTTGAGGCACGTCCAACTTACTTATTCATTTTTATAATCCAATTATGCATACTTACATTCAGAAGGTAAACCTTTATATGCAGGGGGTGAAAATCCTATCTGCAAATCCAGGAAAGAGCTAGTATGGAATATTATTATAGAGATTAGCCCCAGTCATTCCAGTCACCAATTCTCAAATGTGCCACTAGCGTATATAAGCATTTTTCTTTACATGAAAGAATCATGTGACTTTGAAAGTGATCACATTATGTTTCGCTTACGTAAACAATCACTTTTCAATTGTTTCTCGCTGTACGATATGGCATTTTGGAAGCCAGGAACGGTCGCTCCAGGCAAGAAAATCGTCTTAACACTCTGAAACAGTGTAAAATTTTCTTATTTTCTTGTAAAAATAAAATTAGGAACGAGTCTTGACCGAGAATCGGAAAAAGAGTCGAGTGAAAATCTTGTGACATTTGTCGATCGATACTCGGACTTATCCATTCAGCAGCAACGAAAAAGATTGCCTATATATAAATCACGTAGAAGATATTCCATATGTTTGCAAATGTTCTTTTTTCTGCATAGCAAAAATCGTAATGAACTTAATTTTTTCTTAATGTTTCAAAGGCGACCATATACTCTACCTGGTAGAACGATACCAAACGACAATAATCGTGGGACAAACTGGAAGCGGCAAAACCACACGTAAGAATTTCACCTATTTATTAGAGCCTGCTATCTATGAAGCAAAAATTTCATTATTCCCTTCCTAGAATTGCCACAATACCTTAATGAAGCAGGTTGGACCGCCGGTGGTCGGATCGTGGCCTGCACACAGGTAATCATTCTATCTTTTGAAATAAGAAAAAAAAGTTATCAGAATCCATAAAAGTACCGAATTGACGCGCACTTCATATTCGTAAAATTCCATTAGCCTCGTCGCGTTGCTGCCACAACTGTTGCCGGTCGAGTAGCTGCAGAGATGAATGTAAAGCTTGGTGAAGAGGTAAAATAAGTTCAAAATTATTTTCATCAAATTTGCAAGGATAGAATCTGATTGGTTTTGTAATGCGTTTGAATAAGGTTGGGTATAGTATTAGATTTGAGGAATGTTACGATCCGGCGAAAACGTGTATCAAATACATGACCGATGGGATGTTGTTTCGTGAGACCTTTCTCGATCCATTACTATCACAGTATAGTGTCATAATGATTGACGAAGCACACGAACGTAGTCTCTACACCGATCTCTTGTTGGGAATTTTGAAAAAGTATGTTTAACATGATCGATCATCTACACATACATCTTAGAGAAGTCGAAGAATTAATTTATTTTTTTAGAATTATGAAGAAACGACCTGAATTAAGAATAGTTGTCTCGTCAGCTACATTAGATGCGGACGCATTCTACGAATACTTCAACACCAATACTACAAATGACCCCAATAGGGATAATGCATCCATCATTTCGCTTGAGGGAAGGATGTTCCCAGTTGATATACATTACCTAGAAGAGTCATGCTCAGACTATGTTGAAACAGCGATACAAACTGTTTTTGACATTCATGTGAAGGTTGTTAATTAATATGTATGATTCTGCTTGATGAATAATGATTGTTCTCGTCAATATCTATTACCTATTAAATTATCTCATTGCTATTATTGTAATAAATAGTTACCTCCCGGTGATATCTTGGTATTTATGACAGGACGTGATGAAATTGACCGAACCGTTGGCGAAATATCTGAAAGAGCCGCAACGTAGTACCCTTTTCTTTTATTTTTGTGAATTCCGTGTATGCTGTTAAAATCAAGTAAGTTGCTTTATAGATTACCACGATCGGCCACGAAAATTTTACCGTTACCAATTTACGCTGGCTTATCCACAGAACAACAACTGCAGATATTTGAGACGACACCTCATAATACTCGAAAAGTCGTCGTGGCCACAAATATAGCCGAGGCTTCAATAACCGTGGAAGGCATTGTGTACATAATAGATTGTGGGTTTGTTAAGGTAAATAAGATGATTTTTTCGCAAAAATACATTATTTCACTTTGTTCTAAGACGCGTTAAACTATTCGCAAAAGTTACGAGCATACAACCCCAAAACGGGTATGGAAAGTCTCACTGTGGTTCCAATCTCTAAGGCATCTGCACAACAACGAGCTGGGCGAGCCGGAAGAGTTGGTCCAGGGAAAGCGTATCGACTATATACAGAAGAATCTTTTCATGAATTGAAGGATGCCAGTGTTCCCGAAATACAAAGGTTTGTGAATTTCAATATATCTATCATACAATATTCGAGTTACCAACACCAACAACTTCCATTTACAGGAGTAATCTAGCTCAAGTGATACTACATCTAAAGGCATTAGGAATTGATAATGTGCTGAGATTTGACTTCCTAACCCCTCCCCCTGCGGAACTTATGATGCGCGCTTTAGAGGTCTGTCTTAAGTTATCAGTGTACAGTTGATTATGTGAGCACAACTATTATTTGGGAGTGAATTCATTTTCGAAATCAAATTTGTTTGTAGTTATTATATTCCTTGAAAGCGCTTGATGACTATGGAAGACTGACAATGCCACTAGGAATGCAGCTAGCGGAATTTCCGGTTGATCCAATGCTTGGAAAAATTGTAATAACGTATTACTTTGTTGTTGTTTTTTTGGATTATATGAAGCTAGCTAATTTATTTTTGTTATTATTTTGTAGTTGCTGGATTCTTATAAGTTTCAATGTGCGGAGGAGATGCTTTCAATTGCAGCCATGCTTTCCGTTCAGGTAACGCATTGTATGTTGGAATTATTATGTTTAACAGGTAAGTTATTGCACAACAAAAAAGAATTATTATGTGTATTGACGATTGTTTTTTTCCTTGAAACTATCAGAATGTTTTCGTCATGAATTCCTCCGCCCCAGCGGAAGAGGAAAGAAGGAAATTTGCGGTCGAGGAAGGTGACCACATAACATTACTGAATGGTATGTTTCTGAATTTTCTGCGCGTTATTCCTTATCATTTAAAAGGAAGATTAACATATAATATATGAAACCTTTATAATAAGTATTTAATGCCTTCGTAACCCGAGGTAAAAAATCTGCAAGATGGTGTCACGAGCATTGTTTAAACTTTCGTGCTTTATCACGTGCACTTTCAATCCGGCAACAATTAAGGAAATATCTTGTCAGATTCGAAGTACCAATCGAATCTTGCGGAAATGACACGGTTAAAATAAGGAAGTGCCTGGTTAGTGGATACTTTTCTCAGGCGGCAAAAATGATGCCGGATGGTTCATTTAGGACTATTAGAGACAATGTTGTACGTCTTCTCTTGCCTTATTCAAAACATTTATAGTTTAACGCTTTTATGTAAGAAATGAATTGCTTTTTTTTAATTCATAGGTTTTACACATCCATCCATCTTCAATCCTATTTACGCGTAATGCCCCATGGGTTATATTTCATGAAGGTAAGTAAAGCTTGATACATTATCATTGATTTTTTTTTTGCTATTCATAAAAATCTAAACCTTTTTATTCGTAGTCGTGGAAACCACAAAACCATTTATGCGTGATCTCACTGTGATAGAGCCTTCTTGGTTAACAGAGCTAGCGTTAAGTGTCTTGATTAAATTTTTATGGACCCTATTAGAGATAATCAATTAACCTGTTTAGTATTTTAATTTCCAGTCCGCATTTTTATGAGTTCAAGAAGACATCGCTTCCGGTTCGTTGACGTTTCGAGAAAATTTCAAGGTTTAGGTTGAAATTAAGGATATTTATGTCGGCGGTGGTCTAAGGTCCACACAAACATTATAAACTTCCACTTTTATACTTATTCCAAAGACCCTTCCCAAAAGTTGCATTGATTTCGAAAAATTATAAATGTATAGATGTTACTCAATGTATTGCTTATAATAAATGAATAAAATTCATTGGGACATGAACATTGTCATTAATGTTCGATGCACCACTCAGTATGATATTAAGCATGAAAACGATAATATTTAATGTATTTTTAAATGAGAGAATTCGGTCGATTTAAACATCTATTCTGAAATCGAGAATCTACTTCGTAATAACTACGGTACTTTAATTAAAAATTCTTGAACCAATCAACAAACAAATCCCACCCCTTCAATATCAATATTACCCATTATATTAGAATCGAAGTTTATCGAAGAACCACCTATTCTTTCCCGATGTATATTTTTCTTTTAAGGATTTTCTCAATGCTTTCTTGGCCGTCTCTCGTTGAGTAGGCTCCTTGAAGACTTCAGGAGTTACGAGCTGTTTGATATCGTCCAACTCGAATACATATCTGGTAGGCATAAGGTGATTATAGTTTATGATCTTGATGAAAGGCTTAACTCGTGACCTTTTGGCGATACGCTTGGGCCCCATTCGTTTTGTCACCTTTGCCGGATATCTTTCAATCCCCACGACAATAGCGTGTCCATATTGTCGCTCTTTAGTGCCTTCGTCGTAATTCTTCACGATTACCACTTTTTTGCCAGCAAATCGACCGGAAAGTATAATCGCTACTTTTCCAGGTTTCAAGAATTTGACCATCTTGCTTAACAATCAATCGATGATAAAAGATGGATGGTGAAAGAGGAAAATCAAAAATTTTTTTGCATGTTACTTTTCTTGGCTATTGGCGGTGACGTAACGCAGATCATATATTAAATATTTTATTAAACAAAAAATTTAAAATGTTTTTATAATATAATTTTTTTTTTATAAAATAGTAAATTACAATTAATTAATATAATAATAATAAACTTATTATTGAAATAAAGTTTTATATATTTTATAAAAAAACTTTTTTTGATTGTATTCATTTATTTTATTTAAACTTTTTATTTATGATAATTTTGATTAAGAAAAAATGCATTATACTTTTTATTGCAAGTCTCAATTTAAAACCTTAAGAATATTAAAAATAATTAATATATTAAAATAGAATTTTGAATTAAAATTTACTTAAATTTGAAAATTTTATTTATTTTTTAATTGTATAAAGAAAACTCTATAGCAATACACTAGTTCAAATTGAATTATTCAATTATTGAATTATAGCCAATTAAATCCAAATTTATTAATAAAAGTTTATACTGAAATTTTGTTGTTTGGTTCAATTTATACTATTTAGCACAAAAAAAACACAATAATTTAGCAAAAAAAAAAATATAACATTTGACAAAAAATAAGTATTTGGCAATAAAATCATTCAGCAATAAAATCATTTGACAATAAAATCATTTGGCAATAAAATCATTTGACAAAAAAATATTTCTAGTTAAAAAATATTCAGCAATAAAGTTACAACATTCTATAATAAAAATTATAGTATTCGAAATAAATTTTTATTATTTAATTATAAAGTTGACAAAATTATTTAGTATTATATACTTCGATAAAATTAAATTATATATTTTCAATAAAAAAAATTGCATTTATAATAATATTCAACAAAATTAAATTAATACTTGATAAATTTATTAAAAATTTAAAAAATTTAAAATTTAAAATAATTATTTGCTAGTTATTCATTAATTATTAGTTAATTATTTACTAATTAATTTTTTTTTTTTGAAAAGAACAAATGGCTATTACACTTTATTTTATTTATTATACTTTTACTTGCAAAACAAGATACAATATCAATAGCACGACATATATCTCTCTTTGCTAGGAAGAGTTTAACACAAGGCTTCAAAATGGGCTCAACTCCTGTACTCTTTTGGTACTATTCAAGAAATATGGAAAAAAAGAAATTCAAAAATCTATATTATTGCCTTAAATAGCATCTAGCTACTTAGAATTAAATGAATATCTAATTATATGAAGGTGCTGCAGCCAACCTATACAGGTTGGCCTCCAAGTCAAGATTAGGATTGGTATGCCTGCTTTTCAAATATAACTTGATGTATAGTAAGTGGAATAGTGTTGAAAGTGGTAGGAAGTGAATACCTTTTTGCATGAAGGTGTTGCAACTACTTATACAGGTTTGCTTTCAAGTCACAAAAAGGATTTGGTACACCCATACTTCAAGTGTGGCAGAAGTGTCCTATGGGTGGATATTTACTAATTAATTATTCAGTAATTATTTACATATTATTTATTAAATTCTCTCTCTATTTCTTCATCTAAATATTCTTATTTATAATTTTCATCTTTTTCTTTTGTTAATTTCATTATGGCCATTGTAACTTTCAAAGATTTTATAATACTGAGTTTCCTTTGCTTTGAAATACTTTTTTGTAGTTTTTATGCTTCTTATACTTCTTATGCTTCTCATGATTTTTCTTTAATTTTCTCCTTTAATATTGTCTCTCAAATTTCATCCATTTGTATACTTTCTCCAATTTAATACTCTTTTCTTTCTAAATATATAAGTGATTCCTCATAATCAAATATTCTTCATCTTTTATGTTTTTTTACTAATTGTTTATTTTTTTATTTTGTTCTATTTCTTGCTCTTCATCCTTTTATTTACAAGTCCAACTTGACATGTTTTCTGATGGGATTACATTGTAACAATAAGATTTACTATAATTTCATTTATAAGTTGATTGAAATGGTTAAATCAACTTTGAATATTTATCCAAATTTTCCAATAAATCTTTCAACTATAAAATAATTAGTGATAAATTAATTATTTGGTATAAAATTATTTATTAAAAAATATTTTATCAGAATGCTAACTATAGTTATATATATTTATTCTTTTTTTATCATCATTTTCTAAATTAGCTTCACTTTCTTCAGTCAAATAAACTTTTAATTAACTATATTAATTAATTCCTTTTGATATCTTGCAATACTCTTGGACTTTTTGTTAATAAGTGACTGTATACTTTTGATTCTTTATACCTTTTTCTTTATAATTCAATAAAAATTAATACAAGTAATATAATATAAATATCAATTAATTTTATCTCATATAATCAGCTATTTGCATATAAGTAATGATTATCTGCATCTAGTTTTTCTGTTTATATCTTTTAATGTCTTTCTTTTTGATGATGATATAAAGTATCTAACCAATTGTTTAGCTGCTTTTATGATAAATTAAAATATAGGGCCATTAATTTTAATAATCCAGGTATTAACTTGCTTAATATTTTTTTATTTGTATTATTTAAATAAACTCCATCTATCCTTAGTTAAAGTTGTTTAGAAATAGTTTTCATTAGAACTTTTATTTCAGAATTTGCCTTCTTTTCTTTTTCATTTTGAAAAACAGTTTTTGAAGATTTGACTGTTTTTATTACTTTGTCCTTTTTGACATCTTTACCTTTTTGACACTTTTATACTTTTTGATATCTTTACCTTTTTTTTGGACTAAATTCTTCAGCTTTTTAATATATTCAATATATTTTTGGAATCTGAAATTATATATTTAGTTTCAGCTTCAGGCATAAGTTTGGGTTGATATTCAGGTTCAGATTAGTATTCAAGTTCAAGTTGATATTCAAGTTCAGGTTAATTTTAAGATTCATATTAATTTTGAGGTTCAAATGTCACTTTTGTAGTTTCTACAATTACTATTGGCTCTAATGTTAATTTATATAGTTTTAGTTGTTCATTTTTTATTTTTATATTTTTAATATACTTTTTTTACTAATTTGATTCATCAGAAAATATTCTATTTATATGTTTCAGTGTAACTAATTGTGTCTCCAAATTAGCATTTGCTTTTTCTAATTTATTCACATTTGTATATAACTCTTTATTTTCTAAATAAATTAATAAATTAATAAAAGTAGGTTTTATGATTCAAAAATAATTTAAATTATATCTTTTTTTATTTTCTCTTGAGTTCAAGTTACAGATTTTGATTCAGGAGTTGATACTTATACAACTTTAGTTACTAAGCTTATGAATAATAAAAGAGATAACCTTTTTTTGAGCAATTTGACTACTATTACAGAAATTGAACCTTCAATACTAGTAATTGTTGCATCTCTTCTGATATAACAAATAAAATAATTGTTGAAATTGTAAAGAATGTTTTGAAGGTTGTAAAGGTAATGAATATTGAGACTTTTTTCTATAAATATTTTTATCAGATGATTTTTCTTGTTGTTTAGACATTTTGACAAAAATTAATTTTGATTAAATTAATAAAGATATTTATATAAAATTTTATATATTGTTTTGTTATATAATTCAACATTTATTATATTATTATTTGTATTATTTTATATATTAAAAATTTTTATTTAGTATTTTTATATTAAAATTCATTATTTGATATTGTTATATTTAAATTTATTATATTATATTCATTATTTAGTCTTATTAAATAAAATTTGTTATATTATATTAAAATTTATATATTATATTAAAATTAGTTAACATTTGACAATTCAGTATTAAATGATGACTTTTGTTACTTTATGTTTAATATTTATCAATTGAAATGGCAAGAAAGTATTTAATATTAACTTTACTTAGCAAAAGTTATTTGCAATTGTAATAAATGTAATAGATTACTTGTTGACTCACGAATAAAGTTTTATATAGATATAAAAAAACAAAAAATAAAAATTCAGCAGATCAAAAATTTATTATTTAGCAAAGAACAGAATATTTTACTAAATCGAATTATTGCTTTAAACAATAATCAATAAAATTCAATACCAAATAATATTAGTGCTGAAAATAATAAATCTGAATCTGAAATCAATAATGAATTTAATAGCAGTTCTGATAATATGTTTGAAAATCATTTGACTTCTAATTACAAAGTTTTATTACATTCTAATGAATTTATTAATAGTTATTTTATATAGATTTTATTATAGATTATGAACTTTAGAATAAGATTTAATTTGCCAGATACTATAACAAAAATACTTATAAAATTTATAAAGTTGATATTAATTAAAATCAGTAGCAACAAATTTAAACTTTTTTGTGAATAATTATATATGACCAAAAAATTACTTGGATTATTGAATCAATTTGTTAATTTTGTAGCATATTAAAAATATCATAAATTATATAAACAAGATGATATACTAAGTTTCTGAAAAAACAATCAACTATTGATAATAAAGTACATTCATATTGAATTTTTGAATTTGATAACTCAAAGAAGAATTTGTAATACTTTATTATTTATATAGTTCAAATTATTAAATGAAAGCATTAACTAGTCAAAATTAAATTTTTCTTAAACAACTATTTGACAGTAATTATTTCAGATATATCAAAATCCAAATTTATCAAGTATTGATAAATTATTATATGATATTTATAATGGCAATATTTGGAAAACTTTTAAAAATAGAAATTTTAGATTATTTTTTAATAAAGAAACAGCTGATTTGTATTTAAAATTGATATTGAATATTAACTAATTTCAATCATATTGTTGTAGGGAAAAATGATGGGTAGATGATAGGAAATTATAAGGATAAGTATATCAGGTATAAGTAGTATATTATGTATAATAGGTATAATAGGTATAAAGTAAAAATGTATATAAGTGACCTGAGAATGATCAAAAAGTAAAAAGAACTAGAATAGGTACTGTGCAACTGTTAAATAAAAACCAT